GAAATTGGAAAAGAAACTTTTCCAAGGGAAAAGGTACCAATGGATATCAGTGCCATAAGGGAAAAGGAGATTGATTTGAAAGAAACTGAAGAAAGAAACCTTTCTCTGATGGAAAAGGAATCAGGAAAGATAACTGCTATTGAAGAAACAGAAGCAGATTTGAAAGAAACTGGAGGAGACATTTCCTTGAGGGAAAGCAGATCAGAAGAGATTAGTCCTCCTGAAGAAATGGCTGCAGATTTGGAAAAAACTGGAAAAATAGACATTTCTTTAAGGAAAAATGGAGCAGAGGAGACTAAGACCTCAAGACAAACTGAGACTGATTTAATACAGAGCAGTAGTAGTTGCTGCAGCACTGTGCCTTCACTAAATATCAAAGTAAGTATTTTTCTGGTCTTTATAAAATTTTGAACACTTTTTCATAGAAAATTATCAAATTGTGATTATTGCTTTTAAATCCCACAACATTTAAAATCTCTAAAAGCGGGATCCCTGGGTGGCACAGCGGTTTGGCGCCTGCCTTTCGCCCAGGGCGCGATCCTGGAGACCCGGGATCGAGTCCCACATTGGGCTCCCAGTGCATGGAGCCTGCTTCTCCCTCTGCCTGTGTCTCTCTCTCTCTCTCTCTGTGACTATCATAAATAAATAAAAATTAAAAAAAAATAAAATCTCTAAAAGCTTAAAGTCTTTCTCAGCTGTAAATTCTGTTTTAGGACCTTAAACTATGTATCTTTAAAAAAATAATTTAAAAATATTTAATTATGGAGAAGCAAACCATTCTTAATGTAAGTTTGAAGTTATTCTTTTAGCTAAAAGGAGTGTAGGGGGTTGGACTGAATTTGTGCTAACACTAGTATGAACATATATTAGAATTATTTCTTTTGACCACATCTTTTTAAGTTTTTATTTATTTAGAGCAAGGGGAAGGAGCAGAAGGAGAAAGACAATCCCAAGCAGACTGCATTGAGCAGGGAGTCCAATGTGGGGCTCCATCTTATAACCCTGAGATCATGACCTGAGCCTAAACCAAGAGTTGGATGCTTAACTGACTGAGCCACTCAGGTGCCCCCCTACTCCACTTTTAAATTTTCTTATTTAAATTTTTTTTTCAAATTTTATTTTAGAAAGAGTGAGAATGAGACAGGGGCAGAGAGAGACAGAATCTCAAGCAGGCTCCATGGTCATCATGAAGCCCAGTGTGGGGCTTGATCCCATGACCTCAGGATCATGACCTGAGCTGAAATCAAGAGTTGGACTCCCAACTGAGCCACCCAGATGCCCCTAAAATTTCCTTTTGTTAAAAGTTTCCAGTTGAGGTACTTGGTTATTAGCTCAGTTGGTGGATCAATCATACAACTTTTTTTTTTTTTAAGATATTATTTATTTATCCATGAGAGACACAGAGGGACACAGGAAGAGGGAGAAGCAGGCTCCATGCAGGGAGCCCGACGTGGGACTTGTTCCCGATCCCGGGTCTCCAGAATCACACCCTGGGCTGAAGGCGGCGCCAAACCGCTGAGCCACCCAGGCTGCCCCCTCCCTTTTTTTAAGCATGTGACTCTTGATCTTGGGGTTGTAGGTTTGAGCCATATATTGAGTATAGAGATTACTTAAAAATAAGATCTTTAAGAAAAAACAAAAGTTTCCAGTTACTGGAAGTTCACACTGTTGTGACATTTTCCATTTGTGCTGATTTACTTTGGTTGATTTCTATGACTTCCTCCAGAACTTTAGCAGTGAAGTACTGTCCATGGTGCATACACCTGAAGAAGAAACAAATTCTGAAAAGGAACTATCAGATCACTTGAGCCGTTTGAAAACTTTGCAGATTTCTGAACCTGATAAAACAGAAGACCAGGGGATACTATCTTCAGATGTTCCAGAGCAGTTTTCAGATACTAATTTAAGGTACAAGTGTATTGATCTGTGTGCTTTTAAAGACAAAGCATTTAGAGTTATAGTTTTAGATTGTGTGAAACTAAGTAAGGTTTTAAGACCTATCCTCTATAGCATAGTGTTCTAGATTTTAAGCTGGGTTTGGGATGATTGATTGGAAGGAAATTTTGAGGTCATCAGGACAGTAGATTGAGAGAATTACTAACATCGGAATTTTACGTTATACACAATCCAATGTCAACGTGGGTGTGAGAAAACCTGTATTTTTGCAAAGATGTTATTTGTAGGCTTATATTTGGATTGTACTCATGTTTTTCAGGATCTACCAAATAGTCCAGTTTGTTTTCCTGTGAAGAATTAGAATTAATATTTACTGCTAGTTTCTCAAGTTGTCCTTCGACTCTGTTCTCATTGCCCCTTCAACTCATTCTAAAGGTTGATAATCCTTTTTCCAAAAGCAAATCTCTTCCTCAAGAGCAGAAGCCACTTGAAGTTAGACCAGCACCTTTTGTGAGAAGTCGATTCAAAAGACCAAAACCAAACTTAGCAAGAGCAACTTTAAAGAGAGAGACTATAGAAGCAGAAAAACATGTACGTGGGAAGAAATTGGAAACTGATAAAACTGAGATAGTTGTGGTACCACAGAGCAGTGAAGAGATGAATACTTCCCCTTCTCAACATGTGAGTACTATTCAAGGTGGATGTTTTTTGTGTTAGCTCTTATGGTTATTAAAGTAAAAGAACTGGGAGTAATATTTCACAAATATTTTCTCTTGTAATTTCTGCTGCCTGTGGTACTGTTCTTGCTGTACTTAATGTCCCTCATATGCCATGTGGTTTTATAAGAATCTTGTAGGTCTCCCAATGGGCAGATATGTCATGGGAAGGAATTTAAGAAGCCTAGGCTCCAGTTTTGACCCTTTATTCATCATGTGACCATAGCCAGTGATGCGGCTGGCTTCTTCACAGGGAAAACTGAGATTGATAGTCATTCTTTATTTTACTTGGTTGTTAAGGTAAAGAGTTAGAAGCTTGATGGGAATTAAAGGAGATATTTTATTTACTTTGTTAACGTGGTCCATAACAAATTAAGATCGTGTGATACAATATCAAAAACTTTGAAAGGAAGTGTTAACACTCCTAAGTTGATTGTTCTAAGCATGTAAGTACTTTTTTGGCCATATAGATGGCAACAGGTACATGAAGAGATACTCAACATCACTGATCATCAGGAAAATGCAAATCAAAACCACAATAAGCTATCACCTTACATCAGACAGAATAAGTAATATCAGAAAGACAATAAATAACAAGTGTCGGCAAAGATGTGGAGAGAAACTGTCATGCACTATTAGTGGGAATGTAAATTGATGCAACCACTGTGGAAAACAGTGTGGATGTTCTTTAAAAAATAAGGATCCAGGAATTCTAGTAGTGGACATTTGCCCAAAGAATATGGAAAGAGGGATCCCTGGGTGGCGCAGCAGTTTAGCGCCTGCCTTTGGCCCAGGGCGCGATACTGGAGACCCGGGATCGAATCCCACATCGGGCTCCCAGTGCATGGAGCCTGCTTCTCCCTCTGCCTGTGTCTCTGCCTCTCTCTGTCTCTCTCTGTGACTGTCATAAATAAATAAATAAAAATTAAAAAAAAAAAAGAATATGGAAAGATTGGGGCAAATGTCCACTACTAGAATTCCTGGATCCTTATTTTTTAAAGAACATCCACACTGTTTTCCACGGTGGTTGCATCAATTTACATTCCCACTAATGGACCCTTATGTTTATCATAGCATTATTTACAGTAGACAAGATAGGAGGGCAACCGAAGTGTATACCAATAGATGAATGGATAAGGAAAATGAGTTATGTATGTACAATGAAGTGTTACCCAGCCATTAAAAAAAAAAAAGAGAGAGAGGTGTTGCCATTTACAGTAACATGGATGGGCCTAGGAGTCCATTTTGCCAAGTGAAATATTATGCTAAGAGAAATAAGCCAGACAGAGAAAGGCAAATACCATGTAATTTCACTTAACATGTGGACTCTAAAAAACAACAAAAAACCAGAAGCAGACTCAAAAACAGAGAATAAACTGGTGGTTGCCAGTGGAGAAGAGGGTGGGGGATGGAGGAAATAGGAAAAGGGGATTAAGAGATATAAACTTCCCAGGGCACCTGGCTGACTTAGTTGGTAAACCATGCAACTCTTGATCTTCGGGTTATAAATTTGAACCCCATGTTAGGTGTAGAGATTACTTAAAATCTTCAAGAAGTACAAACTTTCAGTCCTGAAATAAGTCACAGAGAAAAAAAAAAGTATAGCATAGGGAATATAGTTAATAATATAGTAATTGTGAATGGTGACAGGTAGTGACTATACGTAACCATGGTGAATATTGAGTAATGTAAAATTGTTGAGTCACTGTGTTGTAAAACTAATAAAGCATGGTATGTCAACTATATTTCAATAATTAATAAAGACTAGTTCACAAAAAATAATAACAGAATGAATTTTCTAAAAGTACCATTTTGGAGGATGGCTGGGGTGGCTCAGTGGTTGAGCGTCTGCCTTTGGCTCAGGTGGTGATCCCAGTGTCTTGGGATCAAGTCCTGCACTGGGCTCCACAAAGGGAGCCTGCTTCTTCCTCTGTCTATGTCTGCCTCTCTCTCTCTCTCTCTCCGTGTCTCTCATGAATAAATAAATAAATCTTGAAAAAAATGATTGTAGAAGAACCATTTTGGATTAAAATTCTTTTATGGTTTTATTTTGTTTTTTTAAAAATATTTTATTTATTTATGAGAGACAGAGAGAGAGAAAGAGAGAGGCAAAGATAGGCAGAGGGAGAAGCAGGCTTCTCACATGGAGCCCAGTGTGGGACTCCATCCCTGGACCCAAGATCATGTTCTGAGCCGAAGGCAGCCACTCAACCCGCTGAGCCACCCAGGCGTCCCAAAATTCTTCTTTTATGTTTTAAAGTAGCTTATTAGGTCTGGGGCTCCTGAGTAGCTTGGTTGTTTAAGCATCTGACCCCTGATTTCAGCTCAGGTCTTTATTTCAGGAATCGTGAGTTCAAGACTGGTGTGGATCTTACTTAAAAATAAATAAGCTTTACACAATGGCAGTATCGTAGCCAATGAGGTTTATCTGAGGCGTGATTATTGCTAATTGAAATATAAAATAGAATAGCTTAGCTCTTACTATGTTTGACAATTTGTACTTTTTCTTCTTATATGTTAAGAGGTATAATTTTTTTTATTATTTTATCTGATTATAAAAATTTCCAATTGAAAAAATATGTAATCTAAAATATGATAGTCCATTGTAATGTCCCATTTCTCCCTCCCAAGCTAATCAATCGTGTAGCTATTTTGAGTATATCCACCCAACCCTTTCTGTATAGGAATTTATATATAAATAATAAAATGTGTTGGTATTTTCATTGTTTTCCAAAAATGGCATAACTTCTTATTTTTTCACTTAATACAGTATTATTTTTGGATCAGTATATACAAATTTATCTTCTAAATGGCTCTGGACTGTTCCATTATAAACAAATTATAATTTATTTAATACTCTACTGATAGGTTTGTCTTGTTTCCAGTTTTTTTATTTTGTTCTTGCTTTTTTTGGAGGGCTATTAAATCGGTATAGTAAATATCCTTGTGTATAATTTTCTGTATACTTGAGTATTTTTATAAGATACATTTCTAGAAGTAGAAGTGCTGGGAACTAAAACTTTTGGTGGATACTGTTGTCTTCTATATAGACTTGACCAGTTTATTTTGCTAGTAGTATATAAAAGTTCTTGTTTCCCTATACTTTTATCAACCCTTGATGAAATTTTTCTTACCGGCCTTCTAGGGTGTGGCTTCCCTAACGACATCAAGAGAAAAAGACAAATCAGGTTACAGGCAGGAGGAGGCTGTGATATTACCATGTATACAGACTGAAAAGGACCTTTCACCTGCGAGTTCTTGTGATCCTGAAGAGAAGGCTCAGCCTACAAAGGCCCAGGAAAAGGAATTAGTTGTTTCTATGAGGTAAACAGTGATACTTTTTTGAGAATCTAAACTATATTTAAAAAAAAAAAAAAAGGAAATTTGAGAGAGAAATCTTTCAAGTATTTCTTCATTGTTGTTTTTTTTTTTTAAAGATTTATTTATTCATTCATTCAGAGAGAGTGAAGAGAGAGGCAGAGACACAGGCAGAGGGAGAAGCAGGCTCCATGCAGGAAGCCCCATGTGGGACTCGATCCCGGGGTCTCCAGGATCACACCCCGGGCTGCAGGCGGCGCTAAACCGCTGCGCCACCGGGGCTGCCCTATTTCTTCATTGTTATTCAGATCTGTTACTTTATTTCATTTCATTTATTTCTTTTATTTATTTTACTTTATTTTATTTTTTATTATTATTTTTAAATATTTTATTTATCCATTCATGAGGGACACAGAGAGAGGCAGAGACACAGGCAGAGGGAGAAGCAGGCTCCATGCAGGGAGCCTGATGTGGGACTTGATCCCGGAACCCCAGGATCACACCGTGGGCTGAAGGCAGATGCTCAACTGCTGAGCCACCCAGGCGTCCCATGTTACTGTATTTTAAAAGTGAATACCAAGCATACTTGACTTCCTCCCTCCCTCCCTCCCTCCCTCCCTCCCTCCCTCCCGCCCTCCCTTCCTTCCTTCCTTTTTATTTATTTGTTTGAGAGAGGGGTAAGTGCTCAGGGAGGAGGGGCAGAGGGAGAGAGAGTCATAAGTAGACTCCACGCTAAGCTCAGAGTCCTACATGGGGCTTGATCTCTTCACCCTGAGATCACAACTTGAGCTGAAACCAAGAGTTGAATGCTTAAACCGACTGTGCCCTCCAGAGGCTCCAAGGTTACTTCATTTATTTTTATTCATATGTCAGACTGCCTAAAATAGAAAACACATTGAGTTACACTTTTTAATGCTTCCCTGCTTGTATTCACTGTTAGCTACTTAAGGATTTATACAAACCATTGCATTTAAAAATACATGTTTGTAAGGATTATATTCATTATCTTCTTAAATATCGTAGTAGAAGACTTATTTACCATTTTAACCATTTTTATGTATGTTATCTAGTGGCATTATCGTACATTCACATTGTTTTGCAACAATTACCTCATGTATCTCCTGAACATTTTCATCTTCTCAAACTAAAACTCTATCCATTAACAAGACCACCTCATCCCTCCTCTTCTATTCCCTGACAGCTACCTTTGTACTTTGTGAATTTGAATCTTTTAGCTACCTCATATAAATTCATTGCCTTCTGAAAATTAACTATTTTTTAAATAAAAGATATACTTATCAGTATAATTTGATTTTCCTCTAATTGCACAAAAATGTATAGTTTATGAAAGGAGACTCAAGTTTTATGATTTTAGTTTTCATTTTTTTTACAATCTAGTTCCCTCTCTCCCTATCCTCTTTTTTTAGGGCTCAAAATACGAATACTTTCCAGCAAGAAGTGAAGGAAAGCATTATCCCACCTGCTCGAATAGTAAGGAGACGACTTCAGAGACCCAGACCAAACATAAGAAAGACTGGACAGAGGCAGATAGGAAAAAGTGAAGCTGAAGGCATCCTTAAGGAAGAAAGAACAATTGTACAAAAAGATGAAACTAAAAAACTCTTGACTGTGGTGAGTTATTGTTACATAATTAAATTGAGCCTTTTAATGCATTTTGAAACACAAAATGACAACTCACACTGGGCTTAGAATATAGGCATCTGACACCTCTGCTCAATGAGTATATAACATGCCTAGTTCTGTTCCAGATTTACCATTCTGAATTTTTTTTTTTAAGTGAAAATAGATATATTTTTTCCCTAACTAATGAACCTATTCATTGTGGAAATGTTCAATTAGTACAAAATATAATGATTATCCTGGTCATAACACCCTTAGGTAACCACTGAAAACCTTTTGACGTCCCTTACTAGGTATATCTCCATGCATACAAGTGTGTACACTAATGTAACTTTAAATAATAAAATCACTGGGGCACCTGGCTTATTCAGGTGGTGGAGCATGCAACTCTTGATCTTGGGTTTGTAAGTTCAAGCCCCACTGGGTGTAGAGATTACCTAAACATAAAATAAAATATTTTAAAAATTAATAAATAATTGTGTGCATGTTATTTGACTTATATTTTACTTAATATATAAATGACTTTTTATGTCAAGAACTATGGAGAGTACATCATTTTTCATTGCTGCATAACAGTTTGCTCTTTGATGGTTAAACCAATCTTTTATTGATGTATGTTTTGATACACATCAAAGTAGTGTAATGCCCTTTTCAACAGAGCTTGTTTCTTTGTCCTTTTTTAATTTACCAAGGGAAAATCTATATCTAGAGTGATTGTAATCCTTGTTTGGACCCTCCCTTACCCCTTGGTGGCAGGGTGGGGGGGGTCAGTGGGTGTTCACAACAGTTAGTTATTTAGTTTTTAAAGCATTGTGTAAAGATAGTAATTGCAGTAATTGAAACTTTTTCTCTGAATTAGACAATTTTCTTTTGGACAGCAAAGAATGAACAGTGCATACCTAGTTTGACTCCTAGTTTTGAAAAACTCAGTTCCATTCTTAATGATTGAAGTATTTTAGGAGATATGTTCATTTGTTAAAACAAAAACAAAAACTATTTTTTTGTCATTTTAGCCAAATTCTCCAGTTGGAACTGAAATCGAAGTTGTATCCTCTAAAGTTTCAGAAGATAGAATTTATGAAAACCAGAGTCACATGGTTCTTGTAGAACCTCTTCATCTTAACAAAGTAAATGTTTTAGATGAAAAGATGAGGTGAGTTTGCTTTTAATCAGAACAGCATAAAACTTTTTAAAGATCAACTTTAAAGATAAAGATAAAATTTTACATCAATAAAATATTGTGAAAGGGTAAAGTAGTAGTTAATTATGAAATTGAATATTTTGGGCAGCCTGGGTGGCTCAGTGGTTTAGCGCTGCCTTCTGCCCGGGGCCAGATCCCAGAGAGATCTGGGGGGAAAAATTTTTTTTTTTTTAAATATGCTTCTTCATATACTATAAGAATTGTATGATCGATACGCTTAATTTATAATTTCTCCACAGTTTAGTGAGCATCTTCATTTTTTATTTTAAAACTAAATTTTTTTTAAACTAAATTTAATAGGAGACAGAGGTTCTGTTTTTTTTTTTTTTTAATATTTTATTTATTCATGAGAGACACAGACAGAGAGAGAGGCAGAGACACAGGCAGTGAGAAGCAGCTTCCATGCAGGGAGCCCAATGTGGGATTTATCCTAGAACTCCAGGATTGTGACCTGAGCCAAAGGCAAATGTTCAACCCCTGAGCCACTCAGGCATCCCTAGACAGAAGTTCTTAAGTTTTTTGTATATTTACAAATTACAAATTTATATCCTACTTAAATTCATGAATAGGAAGTACTATGAATTACTTAATATATGCTGTATTTAGAATTGTGTCCCAAACCAAATGGTAAGAATGGTATCTTTTTTTTTTTTAAGAATGGTATCTTTTATTTTTTATTTTATTTTACTTTATTTATTTTTTATTTTTTTTAGAATGGTATCTTTGAAATGAGTTACACTAGAAAGGTGAAGATAGTTCAGTACTACCACTTTTATTTATTGCTTGTAATTTGCTTTATTATTATTAATACTACTTAAAAAAAAAAGATTTATTTAGCACGCTCCTGTGTGAGTGAGTGGGGAGAGGGGCAGAAGGAGAAAAAGAATCTTAAGCAGATTCCCCAACGTGGAGCCCCATGCAGGGCTTGATCTTACAACTCTGAAATCATAACTTGAGCCAGAATCAGGACTTAGTTTCTTAACCAACTGAGCTACCCAGGTGCCCTGATACTACTTTTTGTTCAGCAGTGATCAAAGAATGCCTCATTGCAAGGGTACCAATGGAGAGAGGACCCCAAAAAAGTGAAGGAATAGAAGGTCCATGGGATGTCTGGGAGAGAGGGAACAGCAGTTCCAAAGTACTTAAGGCAAGAGCATGCCTGGCTTGTTTGAGGAATAGTAAAGGGAGCTAGTGTGAAACAGAGAAAGAGAAGGGAGAGTAGTAGATGTAGGAAGGTGTAAAGGCTGACCGAGGAGAATGGCAGATGATATAGGACCATTGTAAGGAATTTGATTTTGACTCTAAGTGAGCCTTTAAAGAAGCAGTGATCTTCAAGGTCAGCCTTTCATATACTCTTACTTAT